CTACTACTACTACTACTACTACTACCACTACTGCTACGACTACTACTACTACTACTACTACTACTGCTACTACTACTACTACTACTACTACTACTACTACAAATGACTACGGCTCAAGTTTTCGGCCCAAAAACCCACTTTTGTGAGATCCCGAAGCCTCGTTATCCCTGCTTTCCTTCCCGGAATATCCTTTTCCCCCCTCAGGTTCCTACTTGGGTGATCCTCGTAGTGACATGCACGCCCTAACCCTTAGCGGTCCCCTGGTTGTCCGGCTGTCCGTCTGGCTGCTCCTGCTGCTCAGTTGTCGACAACGGTTTCCCTGGAAGCTGCGTCTGCCTATACCTTGCCTTGCGTGCACCTGCACTGCTCTCTGCCTTGCCTGCACTTGTACTGTTTAATTCGTAATTCCGCGTAGCCGTGTCGTGAGAGAGGGGTATGTCGGATGAGGCAGAGACTCTACTCATGCCGGGGGCAATTGGATACCGCGGGCCCAGCATCACAGGGCAAGCTGGGCGTAGAACAGGGGGAGAGGCTTCGTTTGTTGAAAGAGCGGAAGGGACGGTTATGGACTTAGATGCGGACGGGGAAGACGAGCTGGGATGTGATGATGACCAGAGTACAGTTCCAGGGTCCCCTAGACTTGCTGATCAGGACGCCCCGCCCAGGACTGATGATCTGTCGAGGCCAAAGAATGTCCAGATCTGCTTTGGCATGTGAGGGCCTCCAGAGCTCGCGCACCCTGATGGAATTGTTCCTAATGACCTCAAACACCTAAAAAACAACGCAGCTCAGGAACCTCCCACAGTGCACCTTGGGGTAGGAGAAGTTAGAGGCAGTGATGTAATTGACCCGGAGCCGGCTGTGCCGGGACCAGGCACGCCTGAAATGGGGGATCAACACAGTCCTGCGAGCCCTCCTCAAGAGCCGGAAGTCCCTGTCCCTACTCGCGTCCCTGTTTTTGACCTGTCACAGGATGACGATACAGACCTTCGGGAATCCCCCCCCACACCTGGACCCAAAGTCAGTGTTACTGCTGCTACTAACGCCCCTAATGCTAAACCCTCTAAAACCCGAACCGGACGACCTGCAGGACCAGGGCTCTTCATCGCTCGTCACACTCAGGCGTTAGAAAGCTCGCACGGGACACGCGACCAGGGAAGAGGAAATGACTTCCCGTTCTTGCCCAACGATGGACAGATTGCGGGGGCACCCAGATCAGGCAGGGATGCAGCACTTTCTTCCTCAGAGACCGAGAGACCGGATAGCAAAAAACCCAAAATCTCCGATCCAGCGCCTGATGCACTCTCTGACGCTATGATGGAAGCTGCCCCCGACCTTGAGCCCCCACTTACGACCCCCCACTTACGACCCCGCCGAACTATGCCTCTTTGCGTATCACACGTGGGCCCAGGCCTGAACCTAATTGGATGGATGCCCTTATGCAGATCCAAACTAGCCTACAGGACCTCCACCAGAAAGCGGATGGGTCTAGGGATGGTCAGGACAGACTGCATGCGGAGATGATTGGACTCAGGGCTGAACTGGGTCAACAGGATGTCCGAACGTCGGCGCTCGAGGCAACTTGCAAAGAGCACACGGAGCTGCACACAGGCACGCTACAGAGAGTTGCGGAACTAGAGAGACAAGTCAAAGTCCTGACAGAGTCGGATCGGGCTAGAGAGAGATCACCTAGCAGGGGCAGATCCGGCCTGGACAGGAGAGAGAGACAGGTCCCCCCGTTCTCCCAGAAGCCCAAGGCAGGAAAGAGACCCCGATGAGGATCTTCAAATTGTCATGGGAGGCTGGGTGGAGGCAAAGAAGTCTGATGCGGAGCACGAAGTACGGCAAGTGTTTGCGCGCCTTAAAATGGAGGAGCGCGTTCGTGAGGTAGTCGCACCTTATGTGAGAGCCAACTTCGTGAGAGTGATCCTTAACTTCCCACCAGGCGCGGACACCCTTGCAGCTCAGAGGATCTTCCAGACACAGACGTTAGAGAAGCTAAAAGGCACCAAATTCCTGTCGGGGGTTCCTGGGTCCAAGGAGAAGCCACTTTGGATGACGCGGAACAGATCTGTGGAGGATAGACATAAGATTAGGGCTTTGGTTCAGGTCAAAGAGTTCTATAAATGTGTGCCCTTTGTCGACGCCAGAGCCTGAAATTGACTGGAGAGGGAGAGTGTATGTTGGCCGCCACCAGATGATTGCTGAAGCCTCCCACCTTCCAGAAGACGCGCACACGGCTGACATGTATCTGTCGGACAACAGGGGAGATCATACGGGATGGGTGGTCCTGGCTAATCGCTTCTCCGCCGTTACGGGACACCCTCCGGATGCTCTGACCCAACATTGGGAGACAGGTGCGCATCTCCAGATGCGCGCCAATTGACGCCAGGGCCCCCCCCAGATGAGACCGTTTCACTGCATGACATGGAATTTGAGAGGCAAACATCTGCAGAGCTTTGAAGACACGTCTGACCTGCTGAACTTAGGCGGGACGGACTTAATTGGATTGCAGGAGCTCGGGGGCTGCTTTGACATCCCCGTGGGCAAGTGGGACACCAAGACGGTGTTTCTTCAGGGACAGGAGTACTCCTTCGTGATTGCTTCCCCTCCAGTCCAGATAGTCACAGATGCCTGGCGCTTGGATTCCCTGCCCAACTTACCCCAGATGTGGCACATGTTAGTGTGATGCCGTGTGGTTTGTGTGTAAAACTGCGCACAGCAGGTGTCACTACGTATGCTGTCAGCTTGCACCTTCCCTACTCGAATCGAGACGATTCTCAGCGTGTGTGGCAAGCCCAGATCCAGGCCATGAGGGAGATTCTTGAAGGCACCAGGTACCACGATAACATCTTCATTCTGAGTGACTTGAACTACGAATTAGTAGACCTTACATCGGAGATGGCGGATGAGCGAAGTGCTCTCCTCAACCTCTTCGTTCACGATGTGGGGCTTAGCTTTACCAAACCTTGCATGTATACATGGAGCAATACGCGCGGGGCCTCCTCACGTATTGACTACATCCTCTACCGTACTCCACACCAGACCACGTTAGATGAACAGGTGGTGCTCGATTCGGACACGCTCATAGGATCGGACCACAGGCTCTGTACTCTGTGCGTGTCTATTGGAGCAGGCCTCAAGCGACGTAGACAGCGGCGAACCAAGTGCGGGAAGTGGATTGTTGACTATACTAAGGCGGTTCCAGCACTCAACCGACTGGCGGAGACAGCGGACATTCGCCAACAGGACTTGTGCGAGAAAGACTTCGTGGAAGTGGCGTCACGCGCTTGCCACAGACCCCGAGGTCTGCGCTTCAGGGACCCTCCTGAAGTGATAGATCTCATTAGGGAAAGGCGGACGGCCACAGACCCCGGGAGAGAAGTCATGGTCAGAAGAGCGGAATGCAAGAAATAATGGCGAACAAAGCTCCTTGACAGGGCAGCGGCAGGTGACTACCAGGTCATCAGTTACTTCAAGCGAAAGCAGGGTGTTTACTGTTCGCAATTGGAGTATTGCCAACGCTGTGGAGGGACCGGGCCGGCTGTTGGGGGACTAAAAGCCTTCTACAAACAGAAGTACGAACCCCCTGAGCCCCAGATCCATGATGCGTTGGGTGTGTACCGTGCGATGGTTGGCAAGGATATGCCTGCGCCGGCCTTAGTCACCAAAGAGGAGTTAGAAGCAGTTCTGCTATACACACCAAGAGCCGCAAAAGTTGTGGCAGGGACGGGGCTCCGTATGAGTTCTGGTGCGCGGTCCTGCAATCGGACGCTGCGGAGCACCTCGTTGAATTGGTGAACGATCTGCTCCTCGGGAACCTTGCGTTCCCTCAGGAGTGGACCACGTCACAGATCGTCCTGCTACCCAAGACCAAGGAACCAGCTGCCCCCAAGGACTTTCGTCCCATCGTTTTGGCGGCTACGTTGAGTAAGTTAGTGACCAAGGCGCTTCTTGTTCGACTGAGGACGATCTTCCCGCCTATGCTTACAGGCCAGCTGTCGGCCCAGCGAGGGGCACAGTCGTTGGACGGGTCCGTGGCCCTGAAGCATCTGGTACACCTCTCGAGGCAGTGGGGAATGCCTCTACTAGCTGTCAAGCTGGACATTCAAGCAGCCTTTGATACCGTTGATCACGTGGCTGTGGCAAAGTTCCTTGGGTCGTTGGGGGCAAGGCAGGAGGCCAAATTGTTGCTAGAGCTGATTTGTAGATCTGAAGTTGTCCTGTCATTTGCGGGGCAGAGTTGGTGCCAGCGGCTGAGGAGGGGAATCCTTCAGGGATCCGCCTTCTCGGCGGAGATTTTTGCTCGGGTGCTTGACCATTTCTTGGCGCCCCTAGCACAGCAGTGGGCAGACGAAGAGCCCACGTGGGTGAGGGATAGCTCAGGACGCCCGATGTTCATGATCCTCTATGCCGATGACATACTTCTCCTGTGCACCAGCTGTGCGCAGACTACCCGCATGATAAACCAGCTGCAGGACGCGCTTCAGGCAATTGGCTTGCAGCTTGCAAAGGCCAAGTGTCAGTACATCAGGTCTCCAGACATTTCCCCTGAGCCGATCCTTCCCCAACGCTTTGCGAAACCACTGGAAGAGGTTGACTCTTTTGTGTTCCTTGGCATTTTAGTAGGGTTTGCTGTCACGTGCCAGATGACCCTAGCAGCCAGACTACGTATGGCAACGAACTCTTTTTTCGGGTATATGGGCTTTCTGTCCAGAACACGTGGACCTCTCCCCAAGAGACTCCAGCTTTTCAACAGTAAGTGGCGATGGCTATCAGCAGCTGTGCGACCACTCTGGGCGGTAGGCAAGCAACTCAAGCAACTCCAGACACACTTTCTTGCCTCCATGACACGCCTTCCCCATGACCCCCTCCAGACGTCGTCTGAAAACTGGATTTCGAGGCGTAGAGGATCAAGAATGGCTGCGCAATCATGTGGTCACAAGCCGTGGGAGTCGGTACACCTTGAATCGTTCATGGGGTATTGGGGGCATGCGGCTCGGCTGGATCCTGATCTGTACAGACGCATTTCCAGGGTTTTGCAGATTCGGAATGAGGCCTGGCGAGAGGAATGTCCCGAAGCCAGGCGCAGACGAGGACGGTGGCCGAATGCGCCATTTGGTATCACGCTCCTGTGGCGGCGCTGTAGGCTTCCCGGGGAGAGCCAGTTCTGGGAAGGAATGGCCCAGGACCGGCAACGTGTTCCAGATAAAGGGACTCCTCCCGGACGCCTTCTATAAGGACCTCGGCACGGTGGATTTGTGCCACCGGTGCCTTCTGAGAACAGGCGATCGTTTCTGGTTGATGCCACAGAAACACCCCCCAATTGACGAGCCGAATCCGTCGTCCTACAGGCATGTGATGTCTCCGGAGCTGCTTGATGAAATTGCTTGTTTCACGATAGCATGTGATGGCAGCAGACGGGGACAGCAATTAGGAGCGGGTGTGGCAATCCTCCCGCCGTATGGGGAAATCCCGAGGGACGCCATTATCTGCGGCTTCCCGATGTCCGGTAGCCCTGCCACCAACATAAGGGCGGAGTTGCTGGCAGCTACTAAGGCGCTGGAAATGTGCTTGCAGCTGTTGAACAGAGTCCCGGAAGCCACGCTGCTTCTCTTGACAGACTCTGCATATGTCATTCAGGTCCTGGAAGGAGGCACTGTTGGGTTTGCGCATGTGTCCCTGCAGGCTGGTCTCTGTATGCTGTGGCACAGATGCGCAGAACGTGTGCGCATTAAACATGTACGAGCAAACAAAGGACATGCCCTGAATGAATTGGCTGACCACAGCGCAAAGAAAGCACTGGATTATCCCAGAGGCCACTTCTTCGTCAGGACCTTGGATGGAGCGAAAGCATTCGTCCCCGCACAAGGGGCACACATCCCAGAACTTTATGACATGTGGACGTGACTACGCACCATTTGCATGTGCTGGTCTTGTTCCAATTGTATTTCGCATGTACACATTCTATTACCGTCTGCATGTGCATGTGTGCCTGCATGCCTTGAACTGGAATTCATTTCGTGTATGTGAGTGAGTGTGCGTTGTGCATGGGGGGGGGGGGGGGGGGGGGNNCAGAGCATTCCCTCGCAAGCTGTCAGTGCAAGTTAGGTAGTTCTCCTTGAGCTGCCATGGAACTCGTCCAGCAGATGTGGAATGTGGCAGGAAGCCGACCTCCTTGGGAGCCTAGTGCCCAGCACGAGATGGTCTCTGTCGGTGTGCTGACCATTTTGGTCTTGTGGATCGTCAGCTCGTGGATGTACTATGGCCGGAAGCGTGCACGCGCTTCACCTACCCAGCCGCCTGCTGCGGTGAACATCGGACCGGTCACCTCAGATGGTCCGTCTGACACAAGCCAATGGGAAAAGGTGAGTACCCAAATGCAGCACATCGAGAAGATGCTGACCGCCATGCCGCACGGAGATGTTGCGGCGATCCTGGCTGAGAGTCGCCAGCTCTCGAAAGAACTCAGGTCCCAAGTTGAGGACCTCCGTGGGGAGATGAAAACAACACTGGGAGCAGTCATCCCGGTAGCCAAGAAGGAACTTGCCAGCCTGCTCAACCAAAGGCCACCTGCTTCGGTAGCCGATGTCAAGGCGGTGTCCCTCGAGATGCAGAACGTCCGCAACGAGCTCGGGACGCTACAAGGTGAGGTGGCAAAAGTCGAGAAGCTCCTCGCCGACACGCATCAAAGCAGCTTGGACGCCCGGGTGGAGATGAAGGCTGAGGCTGACAAGCAGGAGAACTCGTTCTTGGCGTACGACACCAAGTTTGACTCGGAGTTCGCATACATCAACCAACGGATGGACGAGGCCCACACCAAGTTGGATGGGCTTCGCACCAAGATTGACCAGGCGATCGGAGACATACGCAACGTGCACAAGGTCATTCCCTACCAGCAGAACCTCCAGACCACGGCGGATGACATCCAGTGGCACACGCAACAAGTCTTCCACAGAGGAGGAACGCTGGATGAGAGCCTGAACAAGACCTTGGAGAACACCCGCATGCTTGGAGAGGCCATGGAAGAGCACAACGAGTACTTCCGTGAGGCCCTGAAAACGATCCAGACCAATGTTGACGAGCTACTAAGTCGTCTTCTCCCGGCAGCCACTCGACCTCCGCAGTCGTCGCAGCTTCGGCGCCAGCTGCAGGAGGACAAGCTCAGCCGGGACCCAGCCAAGGAGGCCAGCAGGGGGAACCATGCCCCCTCAATTTGACTAGCGCCCTGCGGTTCAAGTCTCCACCTACTCCGCCTCCTTCGACGCCGGCACCCATGATGTGTGGAATGACGGGAATGGGAAGGCCCCTACCACTGACGGCAGAAGACCTGGCAAGACTCCTGCTCGTGGTACAGTCCCAGCAAGCACTGCTTGGATCTCCGCAGTAGATGATCGACAGCGAGTAAGGCCCATGACTGTCCCGGACAACTCCCCAACAGCCGAGTTATGTACAATATAATTCAATCCTTGTTTTGCATGTCGAACTGGCTTCGCCACCTTTGCAGTTGCAATACGCTGTGCAGCACTGAAATTCGTACCTTGCATTGAGCACTGACCTTGACCGTGTACTGTCTGCTGTTGGGTAAAGAAGGTTCCGACGCTGCCTTGCAAAGCTAATTCCCCGAGCCCAGTCCCGACACCGTGGCTTCGGCGACTAGCAACTCCCCTCCCAGAAGCCCCTGTCATGGTGTTGCCGCGCAGACGACAGTGACTAGGAAGCCATGTCCATAAGTGATGTGCTCGCCGCCCCCCCGTGTTGATTAGGAGTGCCAGTGTCATTACAGTCCTTTGGGCCCAGCGGTCAGGCACTAGGGAACCCTTGACCTCGTTGCTGCATAAGGATGGACGTTTTTTCTCACGAGGACCCTCCAAGAATGCTTCGCATGTTCTGGGAGCCCATTGGAGGAAGCCTGGATGTGTGGGATGTCTGGACCTTACAGCTCGTCATCTTGGGCGCACTGATGGCTCAGGTCCTCTGCGCAGGCCTTATGCTTGCCTTGTTTTTGTACGCAAGGAAAGAACTGCATATGATGAGGGAGGACCTCAGACGGGAAAGACAAACATACCTCACCACGGGAGTCGTCACGTCTGATGCCCCCAGGGCATTTGCTGGACTTATGAAAGAAGAGGGGGATAGAAAACACAAAGACCTCAAGGGGTACATACGGCTGCTGGGAAAGGAACTTGAAGAGTACAAGGAGAGGTTCCTGACAGTTCAGGGATTGCTGGCCGTAATAAGCAAGCATACTGCGCCGCTACTTAAAGATGTGCCTGACACCTTGCGCAGCATCATGAACCACCTCGATGACATCAAGGACTCCTTCGATGAGGGTGTTCAGAAGTCCTTGACGATGCTGGAGACTAGGTTGCTGGCCTTCGAACAGGAGTTTGCCATGCAGAGAGAGAAGATCCCTGAGAGCCTTCGAAGACAGAATGCGTCTGTGGAGAGAGTCTGCGTTAATGTTGGGATGACGTTGACGTCGACCCAAGAGACGATGACAGAACTGAGCACACAGTTCGAAGCGCTGAAGGCAGGAGTTCAAGGTATTGAGCTCCAGTGGAACCAATGGGCGGACACCCTTCAACACCACGACCAGCTACTCGCCTCCCTCGCAGGCCTATACAAGGTGAAATACTAAGGAAAGTCGACAAGAGCAACGCTCGGTTGCTTGCCCTGCGTGACCTCGTTCAAGCCACAACTCAGGCTCTGACTCAGGAGTCGTCGACCGAGGCAGCCGACCAAGCCTTAGGAGGCCAACCAGAGCCTTCGTCGAGGGACGATGATGGTCCAACGGGCCATGAAGAGGACCGCGAGGAGATGTCCGCACGCCGCCAGTACCACTAAGGATGACTGAGGCTGCACAACGCCGAGAATGCGCACTATGGCCCAGAACGGGCCGTTGCTGGCAGAAGTCGGCCCCACAAATAAGAGCCGTACTTTTTCAAATTTTGCTCTGAGTCTTTTCCCTTGTAATTCATGAACTGCCCCTTGTACTGCACTGCATGCAAACCTTCGAATCCTGAACTGCCTTTGCATGTTGCTGAAAAATCATGCGTCTTCGAGTGAACCAGCGCTCATCCTGCACCGAACCCCCCCCGGAAAGAAACCTCTGCCTGGAGCCACCTCATTCGCAGCACTTTATGCCCGAAGCCGTCCTGTACCTACATGCCTCAGAGGGTTCTGTCATGTCGTCCTGCTGTCGAGTTTCGTCTCTGTCTAGGGGGCTTCTTGAAGAACTGAGAGAACACCCTACCATGGAGCCCCTTGACCTCGACTGTATTTTGTCCCATATTCCCCCGAGGTTCTGGAGCCCGCCACCCAAACCACATGGCTGCATCGTGTTTGGACTCTCACCGAGATCTTTGGAACCCACACATGCCACTAAACAGTTCCCTGACCTCGCCGAACTACTTGCACAGTACGTACAACTTCACCTCCCCAAACTCCGCTTTAGTACTATAGGAGTCCGGATAGGAGGAAAATTGTCGGCACACCGTGACCTGGGTGTTTCAGGGACTAGTGGGGTGGGATCGAGACCGTGTGGCTTTTGGAGGGCAAAGGCTGCAGGAGATTTCTTTGAAGAATGAATTTGAGGGTCGCTTCGTTATCGGAGAGGTCTGCGACTTGAGATCTGGAGCTTTAACCTTTGACCCCAAGCAACCTCACTGTGGACTCCAAATAAGCCAGGCCCGAAGAATCAGTGTGAGTGCATTCCAACTATCTAGAGCCCAAACACCTCAACGACAAGTCCTTGATAGACTCATGGAACTTGGTTACTTCCTGCAGCCCCCAACAACCCCATCCCAAACCTCGATCCTCTCGCTCTTGGTCCGGAGCAAAGCCGTGACTAAGGAAAGCACTGAGGTATCGCCGTCTGACGCGGTAGCCCCAAACACCCAACACCCGCAAGCCGCAAATTCAAGCTCTGGGGTATTGATTGCTCCTTTAATTGACCTGACTGGGGAAGAGGACGAAGAGGACCAGGTACAGCCGGAAAGAGTGTAGATGCTTGGGTGACGATTGATGAACGTGGTCCTTCGTTCGGTGGTGTGGATGCGTGTAATACGCATGATGACGCCCGAGGAAACTGCACAGAATTAGTTTCGTACTGCCCTTGCCTCCCTTCCTTTGCACTGCCTTTCTTTTCCTTGCTTCCTTGCACTGCTGCCACCCTTGCTGATTCCCTGCTGCACTCTCTTGGTCTTGTCTGGGTTGGGTTCCTATGGTTTCCCTTTTATAACTATGGTCCCTAACGTTACATTCCGGTCGGGAAAGCGAAGGGCTGTCTCACACCGACCTCGTGCTTCGCCATGGTACGTCCCGCCTGACCCGGTTTGGTGCAGGCCTTTGCGGAGACCGTTGATACTCGCGAAAGTGCCCAAGCTGGCAAGGTAGAAACAGACATCTCCTCACTGGGCTGACTGGTCTCGCTGTAACAGTCGACTGATGTTGCTATAACAGAGCGACAGCCACTGACTCCGTGTGACGAGCTGGTGATGAAGCGACATGTACTGATAACGAACCTGGCCACCTGTATTGGGACATGATGGAGCCCTGAGAAAACCGAGCCGGATGCAGCAGAGCCTGTGTCGCAGTATGGTCCGGGCAGGAGAGTGATTCAGCCCACAGCCTCCCACGAATGGGACATGCTGACGCGCGGACCTTTACGGCCTCCCAAGCATGGGACATACCAAAGCTGATGTACTCTGTCCGGTTGCAAATGCGCACATACTGGGAGAAGAACCGCATGGACCTGTGACATGGAAGGCGATTCTGACGGACTCGCTATTCTGGAACTACACTCCCTGAATGCATCTGGCGTGAATGTCCATTACGGCCTCCCATTACTGGGACATGCCAACGAAGTGACCTGTACGGCCTCCCCAGAACGGGACATGCCAAAATGGATACATGGCCTGCTACCTTCCGGGCGCTCCTGGGGTGGACGACCATTACGGCCTCCCGTTATTGGGACATGCCAACGAAGCGACCTTTACGGCCTCCCAGGGACGGGACATGCCAAAGTGGAAATCCCTCATCGGGATAAGACTATAAAGGTGCTGCGCGATGAAGAAAGAACTTGTGCTGACCTTGCTACCCGGCACAGCCTTGTGAACGATTCAGGACCAGCGGATGGAAGGGAGCCGACATGCCTGGACAATGGAAGCCCCTACAACGTGGGGACCTCTCCCGAATAGACACGTGGCGCCCCCTCCCTGCGACCCTTCCAGGGCTGCTGGCTGGCATACCGGTATGAACGCGGCACAATGGTTAGAAAAACCTGAGCAAGATGAGTGAACAGGCGACTGAGTAGCTGATATGATGCCCCTCCGTGCAAAGGTCACTGGTTAGGAGACTGTTGGTGTGGGTTTTTGAGGGTCTGTTTATTTCGGTCAAGTGCACGTGATGAGCATCCTGACGTAAGTTTCCGCGCCCTGAAGTCATGTACAGGAGCGCATAGACGGCCAATAAGTGCTGCACACTTTGAATGTAATTAAATGGTGTACTGAGTTAGCAAAGAATTCGGAACCTTGAAACAGCTGCCTACTGCACCTTTGTTGGTTGATTTCCTGGTTTGGTTTGGTTTCGGTTTCCCGTAGGGGGTGCGAGTGGGTGGCCCTAGGCAGGAGCACAAGTCAAACCTGCTCTCGCGTAGAGTTTCTAGTGCTTCTCATTTTCTGAAATGATCGTCAGAACTTTTTCATGGGGCGATGTGAGGCTTCCGGACTGTGATTAGAGCTTTTGGAGTTTGGTGTTCTGGTGTTGCTGTGTTTGGGAAGCCTTCTGTCGTCCTACACCTNNAGTGGGTGACAAAACTACTACTACTCTACTACTACACTACTAAGCAACTCGGACCGACCAGAGGCAAGCTGCTGGTGGACTGATCAGGTCCCATTGAGAGCGCGGACAAGCGGGGAAAAACCACGGAAAAACCATGACGGTGGTACCCCACAACCGGGAATTGACAAGAAGATCGATCTAACCCTGGTTATGCCCTTAACCTGGGGTAGCTTGCTTGTTTTAACTTTGTTTATGGACCTTATGTCTAGCTTACCTTTATTTATGGGCCTAACGTCTCTTTCCGCATACCCACATGAGATCGAGTAGCATTACTTATTTCGTTTTAATACCATGAAAGACGTCCCGGCGCGACTAAATGCAGAACGTATGATGTGGACCATGGCATGCTCCCAGACACCGCTAGCCAAGGCCCGTGTCGAGCTTCCCAGTGGCTGGTTAGCAGTTGGTGAGCCTCTAAAAAGTTTTTTTTTGCTATCGGGGTTTGTCTCGCTTGTGTTGGAGGCACAATTTAAGTGGTTTTGTGGCTGTCGAGCATGTTTGTCCTAAGGACTTCCACTGCTCGTACAGACTTGCTTATGCGACTGACAGAGAGATCCGTTGAAGATTTTGGGTTGGGACGTGTTGGTGAGCCCTCAAACAAGGGTTCTCCCTCAACCTGGGTTCTGATGACAGCTCTCTGTTGGTTGTGACTGTCCAGACGAAGATGAAGCTACACAAACATCATCTGAGCTTACATGTGTCGTGTCTGGTGAAGCCGCGTGTTAAGAGATGCGCGACTTTTTCCGCAAAGGGCTGGACTCACACTGTTTTGATTGGGGCTTTTGCGTCTGTGTTGCTTTGTGAAAATGGCTCTTTGGTCGCGTTGACTCTTGAGACTCCGCAGTGTTGTCAGAGGCGTGCCAAGTGGGTGACAAAAACTACTATTACGACTACTACTACTTACTACTACTTCGTGTTGTACTTCTACTTCTACTTCTACTTCTACTTCTACTTCTACTTCTACTTCTATGTACTTCTACTTCTACTTCTACTTCTACTTCTACTTCTACTTCTACTTCTACTTCTACTTCTACTACTACTACTACTACTACCACTGCTACTACCACTACCAC